ACTTCTGATAACTTGTTCTTCCCTGTAGATTCGGTCCTGGAAGAGCTGCCTCTCTTTATTTCTGTCCTTCAAATAGTTACCCAGAGTTGAGGAAAGAGCCCTGATTTACTGGAACAGCAATGTCTTTGATGATTCTCTGACTCTAAGCTGCTCAGCTATAAATCACTATATAAAGCAAGCTGTTGGGGCTTTATATATAGAATATAGCAGCTGGGAGCAAAACTGGTTCATTCTGAGGTGTTGGTGTTCGTTTACTGAGTTAATCCTCCTAAGAGGGCAGATGTAAGGGACCCTGCTTAAGAGAGGACCCCAGAAATGGCCCATCCCCTTCTGTGTAGGTGCTATTGGCTCTACCTTTAGGTGGACCTCTAAGTCAAAACTTAGAGGGCTGTAAAGAGATCCTTTTCTCACAGTTTTCTCAGGGTTTAGCAAGTTCTTATGGCAGCTGCTGGCTGGAAAAAAATTCTCTTTACCTCCCGCCAAGATTCTTTGTCAGGAAGTTAATTTGTCATTAGACAATTCATTACGGGTGCTCAAGTGAGCACTGAAGTGTCTTGCTAGAAATTATTTCACAAAGTAAGGATAAATTTCTAGATTTTTGTATCTAGGTAAACATTGTCTGCAATATGAAGATCTGAATTTATTACTTGAGGTAGATCCTTGAAACTCCCAAAGTGGTGTGGGAGTAGAGAATCTGTGTCAGGAATTCCCTCAGGGTCTTATTGGACTTTGGCCCTGTGGCCGTATTGTCTGCTGTTTTAATATGTTTGTTCAAAAAACAAGACCCCCTCTCTCTCCTGCTGGTTGACATGAGAAGTAGAGACCAGCTAGTCAAACGGTTTTTCTGTCTGTAGACCCCAGAAAAAATGGCAGGGGATAAGGTGATGCAGGCATCAGGACAGAGGTTTGAGAAAAGGGGAGGCCAGGATAGTCCAGGTTTCCATCTGGAGGATGATGATGTGTGCATGCTGCATTCCACACAGGTGACATGTTCCACACACGCATATGGAGCCAGTGTGCTGCCACTTTCCCTCATCTCCGTGGGGAAAACTGTCAGAGCTGCCGCATTCAGGAAGCCCTTCTCCCTGCCTGATGACAGTCTGTTCTCTGTCTCAGGGAGCAGATCCACGTGGAGGTGGGGAGGGAGGTGCTGCTGATCCTGTTCTGTGAGAGAAAACAAGGATCGTTGCTGGGTCCTCTGTTTTGAAGGATCTGCACTTGTCAGATGTGTGATAAAACGGGTTATTTGTTTTTTTTCCTGCAGGAGTCTGAGGGATGTGGTGACAGACTGTTCCTTAAGCAGAGAATGAGCTTACTGTCTCAAATGACTTCAACTCCCATTGACTGCCTATTTAAGGTAAGACAGATACCAAGACATCTTTGTGGGCAAAGATGAGTGAGGAATGCACCATCTTTCGATGTCTATGAAATCCATCAGGGTGGTCTGCGTAAACAATTAATTTCATTTTGTGCTCAGTCAGAGTGGGCAGTAGGAATGCTGAAATTTTAAATTTGGAATCAGCACACCTTCCCCCTCCCACAATGTGTGCTGTATTAAAGCTGCTCTAAACGGTACACTGAAGGTGCTGGGCCTGGGAACCTCCTCTGCCTGGGCTATCCTCCCTTCTCAGTTCGGCAAAATACTACTGTGCTTCAAGGCCAGTGCAGGGGGTGCTTCCACTGGTAGCCCCGGCAGAGTTGCTGCAGGTGTATGTGTGAGAATGCGCTGGGCTGGGATTGCGCACTCCCTTCCTGGTGGTTTAATCACCTGGAACCAGAGGCAGCTCCCTGCTAAGATGCTGACTGACCTAGTGAGAGGCTGGTGAGGTGCCCACAAGGCACTCAGTGAGGGCTGGGTGAGGGCGCACCTCCTCAGGCAGCCCGCTGATGCTTCCAGGCTGCTGGAGCCAGAGTGGGTTCCATGGAGGGAGCACGTCCAGTCTCACTCTTGGAATCCCAGGGTTGGGCCCTGCAGATTTGTGTGTTGATGGGGTCTCCTGCTAATGGCAGCTGTTTTCTTTTCCTCAAGCTGAGGATCTGTTAGGATACAAGGAATAGGACTGAGGTGTCAAAATCCGCACTGAGGTTCAGAGATGTGTTGCACCCCACCCCCATTCCTATTGCTTTGGAAATTTGGGGGTTTTTTTTGTTTGTTTGTTTTTTTAATTATGGCAGTTTTTTAATGTTTACAAAAATAAGGAGACTAGTATACTGAGCAAACCATTATGTAGCCGTCATTCAATCTTGTTCTACCTCCGCTCCTCCCACTTTCCCTATCTGTCCAGATTAATTTGAAGCAAATCCCAGAGAGCAAATCTTTTCACTCTTAAACACATAGATATTGTTTCGTATAAGGACCCGAAGAAGTCACGCCTTAAAAAAATGAGTAATTCTTGGATCCCCATACTGGCCAGCTGCCAGACAAAAAAAAAACCCAAGTAATTCCTTAATACTGATAGTATTTTGGATGTCACTTTTAGCACATTGCATCAGGTAACCATATGGAAGTGGAAAGACTTCTGAGCCAAGATGACCATGATAAAGATGCCATCCAAAAGATGTGTCACCCTCTGTGCTTCTGTGATGACTGCGAGAAACTTGTCTCTGGGTAAGAGGGTGCTCGCACAGGCCCTGGAGGCAGGAGACGTGGGGCCTGGTGGAACTTTTCCACTTATATAATTTTGCGTGATTGTGAGTAAGGACTTATCCTCACTGAACCTCAGCTGCCTCTGCTGTAAAGTGGAGACCATAACATCTGCCTCCTTGGAAAGTCAGATGGAATAGTGGTTGTAAAAATACTTGTATAACACTGGGCTGGATACCTGGGTAGGCTAGTATAGGGCCTGCCACAGCCTCAAAACGTTTTTAGGCATGGGTTTATGTAACACCAAGGTCAAGGGTTCAGACCCCCATACTGGCCAGCCACCAAAAAAAAAGAAAAAGAAAAAGTGGGTTTTAGGATCGGAGGAATGTCAGTTTCTTCCTGTAATCTTTTTGGTTTCCCATTATTCTCATCAGGCTGTTTTGCTGGGTGTTGAGGTGAGGCCTGAAGAGTTGGTGGGGGGAGGGACACTGGAGCCAGATGCCTTAGTTCTTCACCCTGCAGGACACTGGATGAGCAGAGGCTGGATGATACCCAGGACAGTGCAGAAGAGACACATCTTGGATTATATCCTGTGATCTGTCCCCTTGTCCCAAGACACTGCCATGTTCAGCCTGGTCAGGGAGAGGCTTTGCCATGCCATTCCTGTGGTATATTTTTCTGTGTTTTCTCTCCATTTTAGGAGGCTGAACGATCCCTCTGTTGTCACCCCATTCTCCAGAGATGACAGAGGTCATACACCTCTTCATGTGGCTGCTCTCTGTGGTAGGTGATCTTGGGCTGGCCTCTGTGGGTTATCAAGGCAAGGGGATGGTGCCAAGGGTGGCCCATTGGAGGCCTCACTGACAGGGTGGTGGCAGTTGGGGTTGTGGAAGGGGCCACATCGTGGGCTGGAAAGAGAAGAGCAGCAGAAGTTCCCCAGGCCTCGATGGCCAGTTGCCACCTCCTGGGCTGGAAGAGCACCTGTATGTGGTTCTCACTGTGTAGAGACACTGCTGACACTGCCCCCTGGCTGTGGGCCACCACGCTGGGAGAGTAGTCTCAGAATTGTCAATTTAGGGTTCTTGTAGCCTTGCCTTTAAAAAGTAGTTTTGTCTTTTAAAATGCACATTCAAGGTCGAAAATACAAACTCCTCTAGTGTCATCGGCCATCCTCCTAATTTCCAGAGATAATTTTGATTTATGAGCATCTGGAATTTCTGCATACTTATATGCATATAGGTATAAAATATATGACATTGTGGGGCTCACACTGTTCTCTACTGTACTGTTT